GTGTGTGTGTGTGTGTGTGTGTGTGTGTGTGTGTGTGTGTGTGTATGTGTGTGTGTGTAGGCACATGTGAAGGTGAGTATGGATGCCTGTGAGTGTAGGCTAGAAGGAAGTATCAGACAGTTGTGAGCAGCCTTGCATGGGTGCTGGAAACCAAGCTCAGTCCTATACAAGAGCAGTATGCACTATCCTCTAAGCCTTCTCTCAGCTCTTCACTTCCTATTTCTTTCGATCACGTCCTTTTCTTGCTGCAAGGTGATGAGCCTATTGTGCCTTCGTTCCCCTCTTATCCCACAGGAGACCCCATGGAGTTAGGAGAGTCTAGGTTAGCAAGTGAGGTTGAGATCCTGCTTGTTTCTCTACCGCTACAGCCATGACTAAGTAAATTAATTAAGTAACCGCTGAAGCTTGTATAATAAGGACAATACCATCTACTTCCCAGAGATCATACCAAGAGTTAAAGTAACAATGATAACATATGTAAGAGCATCGATCAGAGACACTGACTTATAATACATACTCAATGAACATACTACCTCCTGTTTCTGGACATACTATACTTCTTCTAAGTACCAGCCATCTAGAAGCCACCAAGTGGCTACAGAGTAGAGGTCAAAGGTCCTTTCTTGGACCTCTAGAGTTCGAAAACAAAGGTATAGTGGGAGAAAGGATAATTTTAATAAGTAATTCATGTGACTAAATTACCTACACTACCTACAATGAAATGTGGGGATCAGGAAGCATTGTCAAATAGAGCTTTTATTTAGAAGGGAAACATTGGTCCAACTTTGAAATCCAAAGAGAAATTCCTACTTTGTTTTCACTTCTGACATGACAGAAAAATGCATTTTCCCCACTGTCTTCAGATAAACATATCATTAATCTGTGAATATTTTTCTTTCTTTTGAGACAGGTTCTCATGTAACCTAGGCTGGTCCCCAACCTGCTATGTTAAGGATGACATTGAATTTGCAATCACTCCACCTGACTCCTAGGTGGGATTACAGGTATGCACTACCACACCTAGTTTTATGTGGTGCTGGTAGTTTAATCCAGAGCTTCCTGCAAGCTGGGCAAGTGCTCTGCCAGCTGAGCTCCACCCCACTGCATCATTTCCAGTGTGGATGTGAATGAAGCGATTTAATAAATGTTATGAAAAAACGAATGGGGGGGGAGGGCTGGAGAGATGGCTCAGTGGTTACGGGCATTGCCTGCTCTTCCAGAGGTCCTGAGTTCAATTCCCAACAACCACATGGTGGCTCACAACAATCCATAATGAGATCTGGTGCCCTCTTTCTGGCCTGCAGGCATACATGCAGGCAGAACACTATATATATATGATTAAATAAATCTTCAAAAACAAAAACAAAAAAGGATTGTACTTCCTCCCCTAAACTCTTAGAGAATACATCAAAGGTTTACTATAAATTTAGCTTCTTACCTTTACTTTTTCACCATTTATCTCCACTGTCTTAATCATAAAATCAACTCCAATTGTGGCTCCTTGACCTGGGGGGAAAAGACCCTAAGGAAGAAATAATGGCAAGTAACATTTCAGCACATCTTCCAGTTAAGTGCATTCTCCTCACTCCCCACCCCATCCTAATAAGACCGTTTAGAAATTCGTCTCCGCCATCCTTTGACCGAGGTGACTGGCAGACAGAGTACTCTGCGTAGTGTCGTGTGTGGAGGGGAAGAGGGAAGGGAAGGGAAAATAGAGAGAGACTCTGACAGGAGCAAACCCAGAAAGAATGACCGGGCAGGAGGCTGGCTGTAAAGGAGAGAATCTTGAAGGTGCAGGCATGAGTGCTGCTTTCAAAACAGAAAACTCACACAAGGGTCACCAGAATGACATCAGGACTGTCAGGATGGGGAAAGAAAAGGGAAGATTGGTTAAAACAAAGAGGGAAGGAAAGTGTGCGGAGCTCTGCTACAGAATGAGAATGAGTGAAAGACACGAAGCTTCTGAGTTCTCCTGGGCCTCAGGATGGTCACCAGCCTGAGGTACAGTGTGCCACACGCACAAGTACACACAGCCCAGACAGACACACACACAAGTACACACAGCCCAGACAGACACACACACAAGTACACACAGTCCAGACAGACACACACACAAGTACACATAGTCCAGATAGACACACACACAAGTACACACAGTCCAGATGGACACACACACAAGTACACACAGTCCAGATGGACACACACATAAATACACCCAGTCCAGATGGACACACACA